CGCCCACCACGCGGCGGTTGCATGAGCCAAATATGCTGCATATTTAAAGCTGAGGATCCAGGCGTGCGAGTGCACCATGCTGTAGGCAGATTCTCCACTATGGACTGCACCACCGTTTGCGCAACAGGGCAATGCCAGTAATGGTGGTCGTACCCAGGCATACATGCACCACACAAGCAAGCACGCTGCACGCTCGGCATGCGAGCAGCAGTAGGCACACCATTCAACACCAAACGCCAGAACACCTCATTACTTTGTTTATCCCAGCCCAACTTCCAAAGTTTACGTTGCGCAGCGGTCACACTATTGACACCATCCCTAGTCGCTGTCGAACTTGAGGTACTGAGTGCAAGGACCACAAACTGACGTTTGCGAGCCTGCTGCTCAACACGCAAATTACGCAGTTGCAAGGCAGTAGCTGTCTTCACTGACAGCCGCCTGACGGAGCAAGGCTTGCCTGCAGGCAACAAATACCAGCCAAGCCGTGAGACCAGCATGCACTCAACAATTTGTTCTGCCCCAGACGGTATTGCAGGAGCGGAAGGCAGAGCAGCAGGCCACCCTGCTCTTGCTGCCTCGCTTGCAGCAGCTTGTGTCCATGCAAGAGGCACATTACACAGCAGCAAGTTGAGGTCATCAAACTCGCCCTCAGCTTGCTGCTGTTGCAAGGGATCGGAGGGTGGGGCAGTTTGTCTTGTACCACACGTTCAATCACACGATGAGACCTAAAAGATCCCCAAGTACACGAATCGTGGGCCTGACCCTCCCGCCTGTGTAGTAAAATGCACCTTTTGCCGGCGGAACAGCCAACACATGCAAACCACCCGGCCTAGCACCAGGGATACCCCCAAGCAGGAAGCAATTGGCAAAAACAGGGGCAAAAGCACACCAAGGCCCAGGCTGTAGAACCGGGGCACTTAAAAAGTCAGCCATCTGCTGACGCAATTGATCCAAACCTAGGGACTGCTGCCCTGGAGGCAGGGGCGGCTGCGTCTGCAATGGCAGCTGCTGCTGCTGCTGCTGCTGCTGTTGTTGCTGCTGTTGTGGCAGCGGTTGCTGCTGCTGTAGCGGCAGCGTTGGCTGCTGCTGTTGCTGTTATTGCTGTTGTTGATGCAGTTGCTGCTGCTGCTGCTAGTGCTGTTGCACATCACACACATCCCCCAGTGCTTGCAGCCCAGAGATCATGCGGCGCAAAGGTGGCGGTGGCACCCCCAGCCCACTCAGCTGGTGACTGGGTGTCAGCTGCGCAATCAAAAAGAGCCAGAGGGCCCCACTAACAACAATTGGAGCGCAGGCAAGCTCTGCCAATGTTGACCCATGGAATGTCTGTATCATGAGGCGCAGTATCAAAGAACGCCCCCACCACGCATGCCGAGCAATCACATGCTCATACCAAGGCAACACACCAAAGCCACCATCGGCTGGTCTGCCAACAAGAAGTCGCGCAGGAATGCCGGTGAACTTTCTAGTGACATCCGAGGGTGCCAACCCCCTGTCAACCAACTTGGCCACCTTGTCCTGCAGATGCTGACACTGTTGCGCGGAAGGCAGGTCTGAGAACTTTGCAGCATACAAGAGTTTGCTAACCCCGTATGATGCACTGCCCATACCGCTGCCAACAATGGACAGCGCCTTTACGCGGGACAACCTTGTCAAGGCTGCTTCCACTCCCTGCACCTTGTCCTCCCAACTGAGAGGGGAAGATGCCCCAACACAAACCCCCAGCACATTAGCCTGCAAGGTTGGAGTAAGCTGCGAGGCAATTGGCGCAGGGTGCTGCTGCTGCTGCTGCTGCTGCTGCTGCTGGAACTGCATGCGCACTGCTCGCCCAACTAGAAGAAGTTTTGTCTTTTAGAGGTATAGGTGCTGGCCGGATGCAGCAGCCATGCGCTGCATGTGAACCAAAACCGGCTGCACTGCATCCCCTGAAGGCAGGTACACCTGAGTGTCGTCTGCAAATTGTGTAGCGCACAGGCGGTGGCCAAGCACTGTGACGCCAACCCCCCTGGACACAAGGAAACAGAGCAATGCTTCACCAACAAACAGGTAAAAGAACAGTGACAGCGGGCACCCCTGTCGCACACCGGCTTTGAACACCCCCAGCTCTGACTTGAATCCATTAATCAAGCCACAAGCGCGTGTGGCAGTCAGCAATGTTTTAGCCCAGGAGCAGTAGCCGGCACCCACACCTATTGCACTTATAGTACCCAGCAATTATTTGCCTATCAGTCATATGCTTTCGCAAAATCCAACAAGGCCGCCACCACACCACTATCGCTGGGCACGGCATGCATCAGCAGCTGGACAGTGATGATGTTATGCCCGATCCACCTGCCCTTCAAACAAGCTGTCTGAGTGGGGGCGATAGCACCACCCAATACCACCTGCAGCCTATTCGCAAGGATCCGCGCCAAGTATACGGTAATCCAAGTTCAACAGCGTGATAGGTCGGTAAAGCAGCCAAGGTAGTGTCGCCAGCTTTGAAGAATCCCACAATTACCCCATTCAAGAATCCCACGGGGATGGTGGCCAGAGCACCAACAGCACTGAAACCTGAGCCAAAACAGGAATCAGAAGGTCCTGGCAATGCTTGTAAAACACTGCTGGCAACCCATCCAACCCCAGCGATGACGCTGGCTTGCATGCCGCAAGCGCCTGTTTGACCTCTGCTGTTGTCACATCAGGACTGCCGTCAGCATCAGCAGGCTGCCGGGGCCGGCTGCGCACTGCTGCCAGTACTTCGGCCTGCGCTGTTGCATCCACTTGCGGCTGCCTGCTGACCCCTGCCCACTGTGCAATCGCAACAGAGGCAGGGCCTGCCCCCTCCCATACAAAGTTGCCGGCGGCAGAGCGCAGGGCAATCACTCTGCGATTGACCCCCCCGCTGCACTGCTGCTAGCTGACTGGTGATGTCAGGACTAGGCTGCTCTCCATGATGTAGCCAAGCCTGCCGCTGCGCCCTGGAGCTGTTGGCCCAAGCTGCTGTTTGTGCGTCCCTCAATGCGCCTCTGGCTGCTGCTACTGCTGCCACAGCAGCATCAGCCTGTTGCTGACTGGCGGCCGCAGGCAAGTTTCCAAGCTGCTCCGCTGCGGCTGCTACCTGCAGCTGCAGCAGAGCAAAGGACCGTGGTACCGTGTCTGTGCGCCAGCGTTTGCGCACAGTTCTGGCCATCCACAAGGCCTTCTCCTTGAACCCCGGCCACCACTGCAGCAGAGCCACATTGCCCGTAGGCATGCCCTCCAGTTCCCTGCGCAACCAGTGCTTGAACTGACATTTGTGATTGCTGCTATCCCAAAAGTCAAATTACGCCCGCCTCACACCCGGGCCAATTGGCTGAGGGGGAACGGCACACAGCAAATCCATGACCACAGGATGATGGTCAGAGAGTGAGGATGGCACATGCCAGCAAGCAACCACACTGCTGTTAATGCAGAGCCCACATAAAAAGCGGTCCAACCTGGCCATATGCCCGTTCGCCGCGGAGTAAAATGTGTATAAGCGCTTAGTGGGATGACGGAGTCTGAACGCATCCACTGAGTGCGGCAGCGCAGCACGCAATGCACGCGAGCTGGGCCCATCATCATTAGGGTCAGAAGATGTAGGACGACCCCCCTGCCATCGCCTGTCAAGCACGGGAGCTTCCACACCATTCCAATCGCCTGCAAAGATGCTGGCAGCTGGGCGAGCGGCCCACACAGGTGCTACATTCTGATCAAAATAAAATTGCCGACCCACAGAGTCAGCAGACGGAGCATACACACACGCCAACTGAAAGGTGTGCCCACCCCACTTGCAACGTGCAACAAGCAGCCGACCCGAATTAGTCCTGTCACCAGCGGTTTCAGGGAGGACCTCCAAGCTCCCCACGGTCGCAAGCTGCACTTTCCACTTCCGGAAGACTGCATCCGGGCAGGGCACGTCAAGGGGGTCAACCACCAGCTCTCTGACGAGGGGCTGGCTGCCACCATGGCTGGGCTGGGCAAGGGGGCCCGCGTAGCAGGAGTCTGGCAGGTGTCTGGCCTGGAGGACAGCAGCGTGCCCATGGCGGAGGACAGGCTGGTGGTGATGACCATCCCCTGGGATGTGAAGTCAGAGGGGCTGATGAAGTTCCTGCAGCTCGCTGACTGCGCAGGGGTGGCAGGTACGCCCAGCCTCCAGCGCATGCAGCACGTGCGGGCCTCCATCAGGTTTGGCAGCATCCCCGCCCCTGTGCGGCCTGCATTCCTGTCCGCTGATGACTCCAAGCCAACAGCCGCCACCGGTGCACCTACAGCAGGGAAGGCTGCTGCAGGCGCTGCAGCAGCCGCGGCTGTGGGCAGCTCGGCGAGTGCGACAGGCAGCTATGGGGCTGTGCTGTTGGGCAGCCACCTGGCGCCAGCAGCTGCCGCAGTAACAGCAGCGACCCCCGGCACAGCGACCACTACTGTTGATTGATTGATTGAGGATAGTTACATGGGTGTGCACGTCAGAAACGGAACACTTTGAGGAAGAAGAACCCCTGGGTGGTCAAGCCCAACACTTCGATTGAGGATAGTTACATGGGTGTGCACGTCGGAAACGGAAACTTCAACATTTGACATTTGAGGGGTTACACGGTGTGCTCAAGCGGCTACGCCACAACGGACACCTGGAAGAAAAGCAAGCTGCGTGCAGCTCAACGCAGGCTGTCACTCAAGGAGGCTAAACCCCCAGAAAAGTCTCTGTGTGTGGGGCCAGACGTCAGCCGTGCTAAGCACGACCCGTCGTCCCCGTCACACGCAAATGTTGTTTGCTTGGAAGTATATGAGCATGCAAGCAGTAGTCTAAGCAGTGTCAGTGACAGCAATCTATACATGTTGCAGTACAGGAAGCGGGCTGAGCTGATGAGCATGATGCTGACTCAAGGGCAGATCAGACTCAAGGCTCGGAAACTTCGAGGACTGCTGCGCCAACACTCTCTGCTGCTTGGTATTGAGCCAAATCCGTCGGCCTCAACAGAGTGACAGTCAGCATGAGATCAGGGGGTGTAGCTCAACCGGTAGAGCGTGCGCTTTGCATGCGCAAGGCAGGGGGATTGAAGCCCTCCACCTCCAGCGATGCACAATCATGTGCCTTGCAGAGCTGCGCCAGTTGTGCCCGGCACTGTGCGTGATGATGGCTGTACAGGCCAGTGAGTGGCCTGAGGTAGCAGTGGTTTTGCTGAGCCTCAACCCTGCAGGCAGTGCCGGCAGAACCAACTCTGCAGGCAACATGCCTAAGCAGGCGACAACCACTGGTATGTTGCTGTGAATGGGGCACTTTAGATGTGTCCTGTGTTAACAAGACACAGCATCCCTGGGTGTAATAGATCAGGCAGGCCTGGTACCAGTGGGCAGCGTGTTATGCTGCAACCAAGCCAAACATCTTGGTTGAGGCAACACACGTGGATCTGCCGAGTTTGAACCCATTACTTTGCATCGGCTCAGAGTAAGAAAAATCGTTGCTGTCTCAGGTCCCATGCCGGCTGTATTTCAGCCGTCTTTCATGACAGCAGCACACTATTCTGCTGCTGGATATGACTGCGTTGCTGGAGATGGAGGGCTTCAAACCCCTACCTTGCGCATGCAAAGCACCTGCTGTACCAATTGAGCTACACCCTGTGTGCACAACTTTTGTTGTTCGAGGTCCTCTCAAGTTTGGAAGCAGCAGTGGTGGAAACCAGTCTCCGGCACCGCGGGCCGCTTGATAACACCACTGTAACCCCTGTTCGGGCATGGCGGGCCATACAGCTACCCTTGCAGTAGCCACACAGCCGGGGTGTGTGCCTGATGCAGTCGTTAGGGCAGGTCATGTTAAAGGCGTCAACCACCAGCTCTCCTAAAGGGGCTGGCTGCCACCATGGCTGGGCTGGGCAAGGGTGCCCGTGTAGCAGGGGTTTTATGGGTGGGGTACCCCTGTGCGGCCTAAGTTCATATCAGCTGATGACTTTGAGCCAGCAGCTGCCACATGCACAGCTGCAGCAGGGAGGGCTGCTGCAGACTCTGCAGCTGTGAGCAACTCAGCGGGGGCAGCAGAGACCTATGGGGCGGTGCTGTCAGGTAACCGCACGGCTCCAGCAGCAGCAGCAGCAGCTACAACGGCAGCTGTAACTTCTACTCCGGCAAGAGTGGTGGTTGCGGCTACAACGGCAGCAGTGGACGCTACAGCAACACTTGATGAACCAAGTCCTGGTAGCAGCAGCGACGGTGACAACGGCAGAAAGGCAGCAGCAGCTGACCAGGCTGCGGCTGCCGGCTCCTGTTGCTGCTGCGGCTGCTGCTGCTGCGGGTACCAAGGGCAAAGCTATGGAGGCAGGTGGCAGCCACGGCCGAGGGAAGCAGCAGTCAGCACTCGAACAGCTGCTGGTGCATCTGCTGGCAACATTGGCAGTGTGATCTGCAGAGATCATTCTGAGCAGCCAACACTGCAGTCACTGCATGCAACAGCAGCAAGAGCAGCAGCGGCCGGCCCGGCTTCGCTGATGGTGCAGACAGCACTAGCTGCAGTAGCTGCAGCGACAAGGGCACAGTGCGGGCAGTGACAGCAGCAGCACCTCCGCTGTTATGTTCCACAGCAGCATCTGCCAACTAATAATGTTGCTGTGACTGGCGGCAGCAGCATGGTGACAGCAGTCAAGCCTCATGCCGCCAAAAGCGTCAAGACTGGCCCTACAGGCGCTGCCGGCAAGGCCAGGAGCACTTCCAAGAGCAGTGGCAGCAGCGCCAGTGGCAGCAGCGCCAGCAAGGCCAGCGGCAGCAAAGCTGGCGGTGGCAGCGGAGCTGGCAATGCAGCAAAGCTGGCGGTGGCAGCAGAGCTGGCGAAGCAGCAAAGCTGACGGTGGCAGCAGAGCTGGCAGTGGCAGCAACAGCAGCGGGAGTTGCCACAGCGGAGGTGCATCCGCTGCTGGCAGGCACCCCAGCTGAGTTGCTGCTCCGGTAACTGGAAGGGTGCTGCCCTGGGTGTCCTGCAGCGTTGTTTCCTGTGCCGGCTGCTCCCCATCAGCCGGCACATCAACCGGTGCTGCAGGATACCCAGGGCAGCGCCCCACCAGCTTCCCCATGAGCCCCTCGGCTGTGGGGCCAGTTGCAGCTGGCACCGCGAAGGGTTGGCCACAGAGCTGTCATAGCGTGGCTTGGGGTTCATTGTTGCCTGCGCTGTTCTCGTATCTTTTCTGCTGCGTGTGGTAGCCTTTTTCTTGCTGTTGGTCTTCCCATGCAGCCTATGTCAGCCAGTACGTGTGTTGGCTTGGTGCCATTGGGGTGTGGCCTTGCCCAACACATCAGTAGGGTGGCAGGTGCATGTGGTGCACGCTGCGGGTTAAGCTGCTGCTTTGCGCGCGTCCAAGTAGCAGAGAGATATCAACATGTTGATCATCATGTTGTACGATGTCTTCAGTACCTGAAGCAGGAGCACCGAAGTGCCCAGTGCGTGCTAGTTGTTGCCATGTCTACATGGTCCCTTCCTAATTGTTCAAACAATAATCGTTGACATTGACACAACTTGCTCGTCCAGTTGTGCCTTTCCTCTGAGCAGAAGATGTGTTGGTCTGGATGACAAAGCTGCTAAATGCTTCTCTGAGGCTTTTTGTGGTTTATCCTCGTGTCCTGCGCGTTGCAGCCCTCGAGGTATTCCATTTTCAACGTGACCACCCTTAAGCCCAGAAGCAGCGTGCCGCCCGAGTTTCAGGTGTCAATGTGACGTAGCCGCATGCACACACCATGCAACCCCTGTTTGCCTGAGGGGTTTCCCGGGCAACGCACGGCGCCAGGTGTGGCTGGGACGCACTTCCAACTTAACGCCACCTGGTGCCTGCTTGTGCAGCCAAGCCCCAACACATGTGACGCATCCACCAGGAGCTGTCAAAGCCTGACGCAAACTCACAAATGTCACAAAGCCGCACCTGGTGGCCACGCTGATGTCGGCCTCTTGAATGCGCGCCCGCATCTCCCTGTACAGCTCATCCTGCAGCTGCTGCGTGTCTGACATGGCTTCAGCGGTGTAGGCGTTCTCCTCCTTCAGATACGACAGCACTGCAGGAGACTTGCGCTCATCATCACGCAGCCTGCAGGCAGGCAGCAAAGACGAGACAGCACCACAGTCCGTCTGACATGGCTGAGCAGTGCCAGCACTCTCACCCTCCGACAAGGAGGCCGCTGCTGAAGACTTGCAGTCAGTGCACTGCAGCCTGCATACAGCGTGCCACATGGAAGCGCGCAACAACACAACCTGACGTGGGTGGAGCAGGCACTCCCAGCCCGCCGGAAAGACACCGATGCTAACATGCGCTAGACGCCTAAGCAGCAGTGTATGCAGGCAGGCAGGTGACACAGTGACTGTGTGGCACTGCTCCAGCACAACAGGCTAGGTGGCACGGCAGCACTGTTTTGGCATATGCTGCAAGCAATTGCCAACGCATCTGCCATTTTACGTCGCGGTGTGCAGCCTCCCAAGGGCACAGCACCACACCAGCCATGCCACTGCATGCTGTGCAGCTGCCTGCGGCACGCATGTCCAAGTGTGGACGGGTGCCACACCATGCTCTGGCGTGATGCTCACCAGTAGTAATCATCAGTGCGGACGTCATTGTGGGTCACCAACTCCCTGGGTTGCTTAACGGGCGTAGGAGGCACCAGCACGCCTGCAGCACCCCGTAACAAAAACAGGCTGGTTCATTATGAGAGGCAGCAAAAGCGAAGTGATGCTGCGAGTACTTGGAGCTGTTGTACGGGCCGTCATGCTGTACGGCTGACACAGCTGTGTCAGTCGCATGCTAGTGTACCAAACAACGCGCAGCCCGCATGTTCTTGAGCCACCGTGCAAGCTGTCCTGCAAGCTGCTGTGCCGCAAGCTATTGCATGCCAGCTGCAATGCATAGCATCAGGCAGTTGTCGTGCATATCATCCTGCCAGTCATCCTGATACAGGCTCCTTGCAAGCCGCTCCTGCAGGCAGCTCCTGCAAGCCTGGCTGCCTCACCTAGCCTTGCCTCCTCGAGGGCATCCCCAGCGCCCTGCAGGTAGCTGGCAGCAACCGCCAACAGCCGCCGCTTTGCATCATCATTGACACCTGCAGGAGCGGCCGGGTGTCACAGCGCACAGCCAGCAAGCTGAACAACCTGTGGCACAGAGCTGCTGCAGGAACTGGTGCATGGAGTGCTGTGGCAGTACAGCCATAGCAGGGGGTGTTGGTGGCCTGCGAATGCTCTGTGAAAGCAGGCTCTGCTGTTCTGCATCAAGATCACCGGGCCAGCTTCAGCTGAGAGCGGCTGGGCCTAGACTAGACTTGCGGGGCTGCGCACCTGGCTTGGGCCATGCCTTGAAAGGATGCTGCTGGCCATGACTGATGAGGCGTGTCACAACACGGCGCTCCTGCAGGGCATTAACAGCACATACACCAGCATGGAGCGTGGCACAGCAGCTGCTGCTTGCAAGCAGCCAGGGGCCCTGCAGTTGACCAGCCATAGCAGCGTGCTTCGTTCTGGCCAACCAAGTCAACGTTGGAGATAGCCGCCCAAGCGTTGCATTTGCAGTAGGTGCTTTCCTTTCTGAGGCCTTGCACGCAACGCTCAAATCATTGGCTGGACGTACAGACCTCTCAATCACAGCGCATAACCTGCTGCTGCACATACCTCGTTGGTCATCCACTTGTAGTTGCTGCCGAGCATCCTTTTTGCCTGGAAGGTGTTGGCAGCCCTGCAGTCATGGGTAAGCACAGCACGTGGTTCCAGAAATGCACACATTTCCATGCTGACTATCTGCCTGACGCATCAAACACCGTTGCTGAGTGGAAGATGCTGTCACTGATTATGGTTTAAAGCACAAGCATCACAGCGGCTGTGCATGTAGGGTGTCATTACCTGCCCAGGACGAAGCCAGCAACCACACTGGCCGCTCCCACCACAGCAGTTGTCTGCCTGTTGTGTGGCATTGTGTTGCTGATGGCTGGCAACAGCCACGCGGCGCTTACTACAAAGACTACAAGCTCTGTGGCCGCCAGCACTCTCGTTTGCAGATCAGATCACTTGCCTGTTGCAAGCTGATAATGCAGTGCACTACTGTCAGTACAGTACTGCTTGT